GAATCTCTGTGCAAATGCTACCGCCGTAGTAATGCATCCCTCAACGTAGCAATATTCGTGGCCATAATACCTAGAGCACTTGTGCATCCTCGTAGTAATTGCATTCCATAGTTGCATGCCAATGTGTTAGATGTTTCCCTTTCAAGATACCAGGCTACCGGTGCACATCGCCGTGCAGAGACGATTTCGAGAGGATACGTTGTTAAAATGTTCCTTAACACTTGGTTACTCGCATCTTCCATCACGTACCAATATTATGCACGTGCACGTAATACCAAGAGGTCGGGTATTAAATTCGCAGATCCAATATTCCATACGCTACGTTCGAGGAATCATCCGACAAAGCATAATCTCGCTTTGCAATTAATTTGTAGCCACTTGGCGACACAATTGGTCAGCGTTCATCTACCGAACAGAAAATTCGTTTACCATTAACGACATGTGCATCACGTGTCGCACGTTTCGAGAGTTACGTTTGAAACTGTTCGACGGAAGCAAGTTGTTCATTTCTCCATTTTCCTTTTCGCGCGATTCGCTTCGTTCGCTTTTGATTCTTGGATTGGCATCGTTGGGTTGCGATACAAATGCAGAATATTTCATCAAAGGTAATTTGCAATGTATAGTATAACAGTTTTATTGGGAAAACCTTCAGTCGATGGAGTAATATAACATTAGTTGTAATGATTGTGTCAAAATAACTAAATTATTTCGTCGACTGACAGTTTTAATAATAAAATAATATTTTTGCGTAGCACAAGCTGTTTCTAATTACAGTAATATAACATGAATTGCTAAAATTTGAAAGTAAAATTTGATCTTATTCTGCATTCTATATTCTATTTTGCTGTCTACGATACTACTGGAATTAAATGAACTTAGAAAATTCCTTAGAGAAGCGAGATAATTCGATTGTTTCGTTCAATTCTAAAATGGCCCAATGATACCAGTTAAGGGTTGAAGAAAAGAAGTGGAAGAGTTACTTTGCGAAAACGATATGTAAGGTAAAAGGTTCTTTGTTTTGATTGCACGTCCCAATAATTGAGAAACTAATTAACCGAATTGTTTTAAAATTCATTTTGTTTCAATGTTAATTGCTATTGCGTAAATTCGAGAATGTGCATTACATTAAATTCATTGTAACACCATCAAATGCACGTAGATCGAATAAGTTTTCAAGCTTGATGTGGAAGCAAATCGAAAACGACGTAATTTTGCTTTCCCCCTCGACACAGTAATCTGTGTAACGAAAATAACTGCGACAACGATAATAATTTTCAATCGCAACAACGAAAATGTTGAAGTAAATTCTATTTTACATAAGATACTCAATTTATAATCAAAATTCGGGAACGTTACCGAAACTCAAATGCAGCAAATGTTCAATATCAATATGCCTACAAATATTCAAAATTAATTCCTTGAAAATAAGCTTTCAAAAACGAAATATAATAACTTGTGTACGATGAAATGTTGATGAACAAATTTACGTAGAACGCTAGTCAATTGATAATGGAATTGTATAAATTTTTCAATATGATTCAAAGGAATGTGGTACAAAAAATATTCATAAAGATATTTAAAAAATACTATCGATAATAATTAGTTTATAGGCTAGAGAGTCCTTAGATAAAATTTTTTACGATTACATCAAATACTTCAAATATTTCAAATGAATACAAGAAGCTTCTCACTATTCAGGATTGGCACGATAAACAAAAATAAAACTAACATCTAAACCTATTATCAATAGCATTGAAACAAATTATTTTATAAATTTATCACACACTTCTTTGAATCACAGTAAATAAGTTTACAATTTAAATAAAAAGGAAAATTTCATTACCAATTGAATAGTAGCCTTTATTAAAAATTTTATACAGGGTGTCTTAGTTTTCTTGATAGGACCGAGAAAGAGATGATTCTATGTGTAAAAATGAACCAAAAAGAAGGAATAATATTTTCTTCATTTAAGATTTCGTTCTGAGGAAAGTCGAGTTTGAAAGTTTGTCAAGTTTATCTAACTTCAGACTATATCGAAGTACACAATCGACAAAAGGATAATCAACGTATAAAAAAACTGAAAGACATAAAATAAAATTTTCTCGTTCAAGGTTCTGTCTTCAAGAAAATCATCTCTCAATCAAGTTTTTCACTTTCTTGGAAACAAAGCATACGAAAGAATTTTATTCCAAATAATTTCTTTATTTTCGTACATAGAGTAATTTTCTGACAATTATTCACTTCTCACGTCCAGTCCAGAATTAATCCGTGTAATTCAGATATACTTAAGAAATGTTTGAAATCGATTTACTCGAAAAAAAAAAAAAAAAAAAAAAAAAAACGGAAATCATTTCGTGTAAAAAATTTCAATCCACTCCATTTTTAGCTTATTTTTCTACACAGAATCACTTCCCTAGCCACTCTCACCACGAAAATTAAAACACCCTCTATACAGTATGCCCGGTTAATAGCACAAACTGTTATTTCCTGAACTATTGAAAATACGCGAAAAATGTTTCACACGAAAGTTGCATGGTTTTCTGAGGGATATGTAATACTTTAATCGTTTTGATATTATTTTGCTTTTTCATCGAGATACGAAGACCGCTTTCGATTTTTCAAACAGAATGATATAT